TACAGTAGAAAGCCTTAACCAACAAATTCTGGCTGTTCGCATGGTTTTTCCCTTCTGTGGTCAGCGGGGCTGATGTGACTGTTATGTGCTGGTGTATTGCCAGATTTTTGGTTTTTTATGCCGGAAAAAATGGAATCATGGTTTATTCTGGTTTATAAAATGATTCTATTTTTCCGGTATACATGTATAAACCATGATTCTATTTTTATAAACCAGACTACCCTCTGGTAATTTAACATAGCTATTGAAAATGGCCATTCATTAGTTTTCCCATTAAAAAATTGTGGATCTTTCCATAGTTATGTAAACGTTTACCAGAGGGTAACCATCATATATCCCATTAAATTCCATTAAACTCCCATTATGTCCCATTAAAGTACCATAAAATCCCATTAAAATCCCATTAAGTCCCATTAAAATCCCAAGAAAATCCCATTCTGCAAATGTCTTGGAGAAACGCCCACGATTTTCCCCATTGAAATGTCCCAAGATTTTGTCGGTACATTTTACCTGGAGCTTGAGGATCTGAGCGGGAAGCCTGGCGTTTTGAAGCCTGGTTAGTGAGCTAGGTCTATATATGTAAATATATTAATGTACATATATAAAATATAATACATATTATATATGTAAATATATTAATGTACATATGTATAATATAATACATATTATATATATATAAATGATATGATATAATATGATATAATAAAATCTATATCCATATATATATAATTAATATAACATATACTTTGCAATCCCCCAAGAAATAGATAAGTGAAGTATCAGGAACTATCATTATTTTGCTAGGGATTTACTTGTCGTATGTTCTGGGGCAAAACTACGTTCGTGGGTTATAACATGTTATAACCCCAGTAAATAAGCAGTTACTAAGTGGGATGATCCTCCGAGTAACTAATTCAATACCCCCATGAAAACATACCATGACTTGCCATCTTTTGCAGCTGTACAACTTTTTTTTACAAAAAATGGGTGCAGTTTCACTAAACAAGGTGGATCAATTTTACACACAAAAATCCAACAAATAGTGAAAGAGGGTCCCCATCTCCAAACTTTTGAAGGGTTTGAAATCCTATGGTTGTAACCATTACCTTCCGGTAAACATGGCTTGCTGGACAACCCCAACTGCACCCCGAAGTATGTCAAACATATCCCACGATATCCCCACGATATCATGTTGTATCCTAGGTGGGACTAGCAGTGATTCCCACAATGGATGATGATCATCCCCCCCCCAAAAAACTGGGGTAGTAGAATCCCATACATGTTTGGACTTTTTCCAATTACAAGTCAGTTATATAACCTCATTAATTTAACATGATCATCATGATCATGTCATCAGAAATAGAGAAATCACCACAAAGATCACTGGTAATATACAAATCATGGCTAAATATACAAATATGATCTTTAAACACTAAAGATATAAATCACTGGGCTTAAAAACTGTAGAATCACCCAGGGTTTTCACCACAGCTCCACTGCTGTGGGGCGCCCCACGGTGGTCCACCCGGCGGCCCCAAAGGCGGGCCACAGGGACCGCAGGGGCCGCAGGGGCCGCAGGGACCGCAGGGGCCCGGTGGACAGCCGTGCGGCGGTCCGTAGCCCGGGGGCGGGGGGCCATAGCCTCGCCGTGGGAATCTTGGGGCTTGGGAAACTGGGGGAGTTATCTGAAACCACTAAGACTATAGAAATCCATAGAATCTAGAATTGACAAAATGGATAGGGGGTCAAAATCAGGATTGTGACCCATCAGGATTTTGCCAATTTCAATTGAAACATGAGGATCCAAGCAAGTTGGTCAACACAATTTTTTTGGGTTTCAGTACTTACGCTGTAAGGATCTGCCATGTAGATCCATATAGCCTATACAGTTGTGGCCATTTACCAGTTATTACTGGTTATAAATGGGATTATACATTCAATAAATGGGGTTTTGTTAGTACTTATAGCTGATAAATGGCCATATCTGTAGGGTTTCAGTACTTACTCTGTAAGGATCTGCCATATAGATCCATATAGCCTTTTTTGGGCATTAAACATTGGGCATTTTGGGGATTAACTGGATTAACCCATTTCAATCCCATTTTTGACGTGTTTTGCCAAAAGGCTTTGAAATAGGGAACCCCCGTTCCATGGGTTCATAAGAAACATCGTACCATTGGTTTTTCGTCCCCGGAACATGATTTTGGTGTAGCCTCTCGTTATGTCAAAATAGCTATCGAAAATGGCCCAGTCGAAATAGTTGAACTACTGATTGACCTATATTGACCTATTAAAAATGGTGATTTCCCAAAGTTAACTATAGAATACTATAGATAGTATGGGTATTTCCCAAAGTTAATGGGGATTTATAGTTGAATTACTGATTGACCTATTAAAATGTAAACGTTTACCAGAGAGTATACTGAATCTTGGATACATTGGCCAGCCAGATTCCAACCATCCCCAACAGCTCCGCAACAGGCATCCGCTAGGCTCACGGCCGCCGGGTGGGGGATATCCCGGTGGCGGATGGCCCCCCGGCGGGGGGCCGTACCTCTGGCAGCCGGAAAGGGGATCCAAGGAAAACATGAGTTGGACCATACATAGCTAAGTTGGTTTATAACTCCAATAACTAGGGTTTATGGCTGGGGGTTATATCTATAATATTCTATAGTTAATGGGGATTGAGGCGGCTCCCCCTTTGAGTTCCACATCCGGAAAGGGAGAAGAGTTTCTCACCCATGATTTTTTCAATGATCCATATTTTTTTTGCAGAACCATGTAATGACTTTACAACAACTGTTCCTTGGTGTAGATATGTGATGGTACTTGAAATGGCCAGTTGAGTTTAGGTCAAGATCTATGTCATGCCACATTTGGGAGGTCAATCCCAGCTATTCTACCAACCTTTGCATCCACAAGCGTCTGGGGAGGTCATCGTGAGACTTTCTCATCTCAGGTAGGGATGGAAAAGCAATCATGATTCTGGGTGGTACCCGTGATGCTTGTTGGTGGTTTATAATCCCCATTAACTATAGAATACTATAGATATAACCCCCATAAACCCTAGTTATTGGAGTTATAAACAAACTTAGCTACGTATGGGGCAGCCGACCCAAAATCTGTTGGATGATAGGAACATCCTTACAGGGTGCATCGTGGTTTTTTTCTGTGCTGCAAACGAGATATCGGTAACATGGTAACAAGACTCATGACCCAACATGAATTAGCAGCAAAAAACAGCAGAGACACGCACCCAAACCCAAAAACATGCATTTGTAAAAGTATCTAGTTATTCAAATCAAAGCAACATTGACCAATAAAGTGCCCGCGCATGATGACTAGGTCCATGTTCAGCATCAAACCCAGAATTTAAAAGTAAATCATGTCTATTCATTCAAAATAGGCTGAACAGATTTCTCGGATTTTCCGGCTCATTATTTACCGCAGATTATCAGGGTATTATCCCCCTGATGATATTCCCATATTCCACGGCGATGTTGTACTGGTTGGTGGTTGAGCCCTACCCCTCTGAAAAATATTTTTCTTCGTCAGTTGGGACGATGACATTCCCAACTGAATGGAAAAATAAAAACATGTTTGAAACCACCAACCAGTGTATATATATATATATGTATATACAATGTTATACAAGTATACAATGAATGGCACTTAATGTGCTAAACCATCCTCAATGGAAAGTATAATCGTATGTACATATATCTGGGTAAATTATAACGACCTCACTGCGACCTCACTGGAATCATAGTTAATAAGGGAAATCATCCCCAAATGGGCCTTAATTCAGGTTTGTGAAATATCATAATTTACCCATATATTCCCATATTCCACGGCGATTGTTTATCATTGTTGGGTCCAGCGTGATGTCCTAAAAAATTGTGTAGATTCCTCCAGCATCCCCCCGTTGGCATCCCGGCCCCATGGGAGGTGGTGGCCCCTTTCCTGGCTGCGAGCGCTCTTCAAACAGCTGGGGGATGTCGAAAAAAAAAACATGGTGATCTAAAATTGGACTCAGGATGAACAACCAGAATGGATTTTGTTGGGGTACACTATATAGTTGATGATAAACCAGTTTTTTTAAGGGTAATTGCACTATATAGTTCAAACAAATCCTTATATGAGCTAAGCGTTTTTTTTTCGAAGTGGCTAAAAAAAAGCAGTTGCGCTTAGCAGTTCTCTAACCCCCAAGGCATGTCCCTATCCCGACGTCCTCCGGGGGGAGGATAATGATGTGGAGGAGGATGTCCTTCGCAGCCATGAATGACAAAGCTAGCTACATCAAAAACAAACAAGTTGATTGTACATAGTTAGAACTATGTACCTCAGCTATGTCATGTAACTAGTTACTCAGCTAGATTATGAGTGACATCAAACATAGCTGAGTTTGCCTGTCAGTTGAATGCTATCAGGGATCAGCTCTTTTGCACAGTATGAAATATGACAATGCAAGTTCTGCAGATAACACTCTTAATCCTACATTAGATGGTAGGTGTGAAAAGTCACTGTGTTATGAATACAAATCCTCTTCAAACTTTTCCGGACAGCCAAACAACACATGTGGATCGACTTGCACTTCACGACAAAAACTGAAGTGCTTCTCACACCCCCCAAACTGCGAGTTTCTTGAACATCTTGAACGTGGAGGTCATCTATTTTGGGGCTCCTCGGTAGAAACTCGGTAGAAACTCGCTGGAAACGAACAACATAAATTCTGGCTGACACAACCATCCAAGAAGCAGCTGCTGTGATACATTAATAATATAACCATAAATATACAGTATATATATAATATATATAGTTTGACAGTAATTAACTATCCACATAACGTGGTAGTCAGAACAGGTTGACACACACACACAGAGTTACTGCTATTCGCTATTGATCATTTTTTGATCATATGTTTGAATGAGCCCTCCCCTGTCCCTCAAGCCAATGCACCAATCAGAGTTTCGGCTCTAACCTCAAACGAGACATCGCCTTTTTCTCTCGCAGCAGCCACTACGACAATCTATCAGTGAGACCAAGTTCTTCCATTATCTCAGAACTCAGATGTATATTGAGTAATTGAGTACTCAAATGATCTTCAACACGATATCCATGTTTGAAGATTCGCGCTCGCAGTGCTCGCACGTCTTGTTTCAGCTTTCACCCAGGATCCTTTCGCCCCACGTCGCCTCGCCATCGTCCAGGAAGGCCCTGCCAACCGGTGGTCCAACCCAATGGCGTCATGACACGACGGACCTTGAACTTGGCGCCATCCAGCTATCCATACCATCCGTCATAGCCATCGACACCAGGACGCGCAACAGTCGGTGGCCGTGACGAAACGCTTCGTTTTCACCGTCTTCGTGGAGGCTGAAGGCAAAATCTCCGGAGAAAAGTCACCTGCCATCGATGGCAGGAGAGGGTTATTTTTCAGAGACAAAGATGGGGAACATCCTGAAGTCTACTTGTTTACCCATCCAAAAAAAGAGGAGTTCCAACATATGTTTCCCTGGAAGTGAACAAGGGTCTGTTTGACAAATCCAAAGGGGAAATGTCCTAAATTAGGCAAGAGAGGGGGGCCAGTGTGGTATACTGTTCATATCCATTTATCATGCGTTTCCGTTGTTATGCTCACAGGTGGATTCTACTCAGACAAGCAACGACTACGAGAAGGACATCTGTAGATCCAACATGCTTGGTATGGCATGTCGGCATAATTATGGATATCAATATATATATATAGGTTTACCACTCAATATTGCATAGTTTTCAACATTAAAACTATAGCACATTTCCCAAGCAGTATCCAGTATCCAACCATGTACCAATGATGGCCAAACTTTAGTATAAATCAACAATTTGTGGTCAAAACATGAAAGTACCAAACTGCCCATGCAAGGTGGCTTCTATCCTATGATATCAGCATGATAACCCATGACGTCACTATTACCATAATATACCCATATTTCTATGGCTAAACCCTCACCACTGATTCCAATCATTAGCATAAGTTGGAATGTAAAAGCATGACCCTCTGGTAAAGGTTTACATAACGAACTGGAACATCGCCATGTTTAATGGGTAAATCAACTATTTCTATGGGCGATTTTCAATAGCTATGTTAAACCGGAGGGTAGTACAGGGTCCCATCCACCCATTCCCCACGCATTTTTGGTTCCGCCTGCGCCATGCACGGCCGGCGGTACGCGGGAAGCTGCACCGTTTTCGAACGCGGCGGGCCGGGCACAGCCCAGGCGATGCCAGGCGCAGCGCAGAAGCTTCGAGAGGAGGGACCTATGGCGGTGCTATCGATTACCCTAGAGATAAACATTACATATGGTTAATATATGGCTTATATATGGCTAATATATCAGCAAATATATGGTTTAAAAAAGGGATGTTAACTATATGGTAATATCAGCTAACATATGATGAATATATGGGTTATATATGGGTTATCTATGGGATTATCAGATGGTTTCGCCTATGGTTCTCCATTTTATCGATAGTTTTTGATGTTTTTTCTCTTAGACATGGATGTATCATCTATGGATCAGAATACTATGTTTATCTATGGATCCATAGCTCTGATATATTCTGATCAAGATAGACATATCTGTTATCAAGATAGAATAGCCTATGTTCTCAAGAGATATATTCTGATCAGAATAGTCTATGTCTATGTTTATCTATTTTGTCCGATGGCTCTGATCTTGATCATGAGAACAAAACATGTACGAAATGTAATCAAAATGTATTGTATTATGTGAGATCGTATATGTCTACCCAGCTATGGATCATAATTTAAAATTTGATCTAGTGGCGCTATGGCATTAATATTGATCATGGGTAAACGTGATATGCTCCAGCAAATTAACATAGGCCCTGCCAGATAGGGGTTGGAAGATTAGCTTCCACTAGAAATGGATTATTTTCAGGGTCTATGTTAATTTACCAGATGGTATATGATACATATATATATAATATACACTTGTTATATATGATATGTTTATAATATACACTTGTTATATATGATATGTTTTGATTATACATGAATGTCTAAGTACTGGTCCAACTCTTGCTGGATCGGTATATATATATATACATATCATAATTGCTCAATAATGGGGATCAAACAGAGGTGTAGTGGGATACAAGTAATTCTATGACCTACCAAAGCAACACAAAAGCATAGGGTCCTTTTTATCATGGGATTATTCAACAACCAAAGATATGTCTATCTATGTCTATAGATGATTGCGGAGGTCGCAACATCGCAATGATATCTTGAATTTGCCATTCAAACATATTCAAACTGGGTGGTTCTTAAATGCATGTGAAGAAATGCCTTCATTCAACACGTTTCTAGATGGATTCTATTCATCTGCTCGAGCAACATGTCTCCATGAAAATGGCAACATGTTTTTAAGCGTCTCCGAGAAAAACCAGCCGTCAGCCCAAGATATGCCAAGAAAATCGGAAACATGAACCATGATCAACTCTTAAATGGCTCTTCAATCTCACTACAGTATCTTACCGATCATGAAAATATAGAAAAAACGAGTGATACAGCTGAATAGGGGATACGCTATGATAACATGAACATGCGTAATCAAGAACTTCAAGTTATTGGATCTTTATTAGATGCTTTTCATCACCGAAAATCCGGGTTTTCGTGCGGCGTGAGGTCATCGCAATCATCAGCTGTGGCTGGCTGTGGCTGCTTGCTACTGTAGAACTGTGCACATTTACATCATACCAGACTAATGTGGTTAAAACATGTTTAAAACATATCATAAATAAAACCCATGACTGGGAATGGTAACTATATATACACCTATAAACATGGTGATGACTGGGGGATGGTTTATGATTTTTGTTTTACCCACATTACCAGATTTTTCGTACTAAACGATCCATCCAAGGCTTTCCCGGAAGAAAACTCTGTCACTCTCTATATGTTCAAAACAAAATCCCGGGAGACATCCGACAAAGATCCCCATGAAATGCCCATGAATTCCCATTAAACATCACCATATTCTTGGTGAAAACCCCCATATCTTATGGGTCATCAGCCAGGAGACCAGTAGATTTCAAGGCCAAGAATGCCCAGCACGGCAGTCACAACCGTCTTTAGGCTGCCTGACGTGTCGCTGGTGACTTCTTCTCTTGTTGGCTTCAGCGCCAAAAACAAAGGGCTATGAAACAACCATCATGGGGATGTGACTGGATATCTATGTATGTATAAATATGACTATCACTACAGTTATGGCCATGGCTACCAGCGGCTACCAGTTATAACTGGTGATTTCAATGGGATTATACATTCTATAAATGGGGTTTATGAGTACTTATAACTGATAAATGGCCATAACTGTACAAACAATGATAAAACTGATGTCTCAACCTTGGAAGATTCATTTCAATGTCTGGCAGCTCTAAGACCATGAAGATTGGCCCAACCACAGATCGATGGTTTTTCGCGACAGATGGTACCAGGACATGGAAGGGGAATTTCACCCAGAATTTATCTGGGTAATTATGTATATATATGTGGGTAAATTATGAATATGTTATATATATATAGATATATCCATACAGGTAAATTATAATAATTATTTTACTAACCTGAATTAAAACCATTTGGGGATGATTTCCCTTATGAAAAGCATGATTCCAGGCTTCGGGAGAACAGTGAGGTCGTTATAATTTACCCTGATTTATGAAGTTTCAACCTGACAACAGTGGTACCAGTATATCGACAAAAACCATGAGTTGAACATGCAAGGTTGGGCCACAAATTTCGCGAAACTTGTTTATAAATAGGTTACAGTAGGTTACTGTAAAAAGATTATTTATTGTAGATAAATATACTGTATCTATAATAAATAGTAATGGGGTTTGTAAACCAACACACCTTGCAACTGGTGGATTTTCAATGATTTTCATGTGCTTTCATTCTGTTTCAAACCAGGGTTTTGTCTGAAAATGCACGACTGTAGCCAAAAGAAAACATAGTTACATAGTTGATCACCATTCATGACATCAGAATGGCCATGAATTGGATGTAATCCCCAGTTTCTAGACCCATCTGAGACTCAAACATGGATTCTCAACGATGAGGGCCCCTCCACAATCAGAAGCAGCCAGGGCGAAAGGTAACAGCAGCACCAGTACGTTCATCACCTGAAGCCAAGAATCATGGTCATTTCCAGTCGGACATGTTTTTTTCCGAACCTACCCCTTGGTTATTTGTTGTGGAAGCCATGGCCCATAGAAATAGATGATACACATGATGATTTACCGAACTTAAGAACGGAGATTTTCCAGTTCGCACACTATAAACGTTGACCAGAGGGTAGTAGATACCCATTAGATACCATATACCATATATTACCAACATATTACATAGACCATTAGCAAACTGTTGAATAACCATAGTTGTTTTTCTTGGATTATGGTTATTCTTTAGGCTGGACACATCCGCCATTTGTGGATCATGTTCCCCTATTACAACTGAACCTGAGAATGTTTACGTGTCATGTTTATTTACTGGAGGGTAGCCATCAAGCAGCATATATATATATATATATGTATATATATATATATAAATATGTATATATATATGTATATATATATATGTATATATATATATGTATATATATACATATATAATCATATAATATATGTATATACACACATATATATATATATATGTATATATATATGTAAATATATACATATATATATATATACATATATATACACATATATATATTATGTATATACATATATGTATATTATGTATACATATATATATAATATACACACATATATATATATATACATAAATAAATTGATTAACCAAAACATAAAATGAACTAAGCTTGTTGTTGGCATCAATCCATCCCAACAAAATACATTATCAAATAGTGTCAGTGGGAGGGAAAAAACGTAAAGCGTATCTGATAGCACGAACCTTTGTGGGTGTCGACTCTCAAATCCAGGCTTAACAAACTCATTTGTTTGATAGGAAATGACCACACAGCGCTCCACCGGCTGTCTGTGTGCGTGATTTCTTGTGAAGACCTCCGCATATTGCAATACGCATCTTTGATTATATACGACTACCCCCAAAGAGAACAACGTTTATCACTTTTTGGAAGGATTTTACATGTCTATCTTTGTGTGGGTACTATACATATCCCATCTATCCACAAGTTTGTTTGACTAGTCTCCATCCCTGCTGGTCATGTCTGCGGAATTTTTGGGGCCAATGGACCGTACCCACAACAATGTTTTGCCAAAAACGGTCCAACCGACTTTTCCAAGCATTTTTGGAAACCCACCTACTTGTACAAATTAACAATTGTGTCTTTTGGACTGGCCGGTTTGGAAAAACCATTTATCATCATTTATCTATCGGTTGTGAACCATGAGGGTAACCCCTCTATTGACCAACCAACTATATAGTGCGAAAATGACATCTATGAAGTTGTAGTTGGTTACTAGATAGTTGCTTGGACAAAGTAAGGTCACTATATAGTTGGTAACCATCTGTTGACCAACAACTAAATAGTGGATTCCTTACTTTTAGGTTACTATTAGAGGGTCCAACCGGAGGAACTCCACCGATTCTTGTAGAAACCTTCACGATGGAAACGTGGCCCGCAACATGCTATGGAAATGTGGCTGAGATCCCGCACGATGGCAATGTGCACCTCAACAGGGCAGTTCCACTTATAAATCAGCAATGATTGGAAGAAATCGGAGAGACATGTCGAAAATCGAGACTTCCCTGTAAAAATCTTGTGCCACTTGAGGGAGACTGCTGGGAAACTGTCCCTAGTTCTTCGGAGTTACCTCCCAAATTCTGGAAGTCACCAATCAAGAAAGGGGATGCACACAAAACAAAGTGCTGCGCCAGTGGTCCAAACATGGGGAGATCTTTAGGATCCCCCAAAACTGTCTAAGTGGGCTTCCCCTTGTTGCATTTTCACTTCATGTCAAGAGCAGTTGCCGAGTTTCGAAGAAACTAACCCCGCGGCGCTTAGTCTGCAGACTGCGGCGTCAATTTCAGTTCACCGAAAAAACATCCCATTTCAGGGAAGTCTCTGAATTTCAATGCATGAGGTGACCTCTTGGCAGTATTTCACACAAAGACGAACATACCCTCTGGTAAACGTTTACATAACTATGGAAAGATCCACCCATTTTTAATGGCTAAATCCACTATTTCCATTTTTTTTGACATAACCAGAGGGTAGCTAAGCTGGTAGAAGCTACTTGAGGATGCACTTGGGATGAGGGTAGAACCACAGCGATCATCTCCCTGGAAGAGCTCGCAAACTGCTAGTCATTACCGGAGGGTAAATGGAAAAATATCAGAGTTACAATTGACTGGCACCCAGAAAATCAATGAAAATCATATATCATCTCCAAACCAATAGTACTCATATCCAACCCTAGAATAGGCTGGGATACCCTACAACCATATGTCCACTTGTAGCTGGAACTGCACCCCCACTTGGAGCTGTCCCCTCTGAGACAAAGGGCGATCCACTTGGCACAGGATGGAACCCACTCCTGGCGACCAACAAAAAATCAAAGCAAATCCTGGCAACAATCTCGTGAGATACCCTCTGGTAATTTAACATAGCTATTGAAAATGGCCATTTATAGTGGATTTTCCCATAAAAAATTGTGATTTTCCATCAATATGGGTTTGTCTGAAAATGTTGGGTTAATATTCCCAATGAAATAGCCATTTTTCATAGGGATAATGATCAGCAAAACCATTGGGTTTAGGGGTACACTATTTTCAGACAATATACCCATAGGATCCATGGTGCTGGTATACATGCTAACATGGATCCCATCAATATACCCCCTTTATGTTAGCATATATACCAGCACCATGGATCCTATGGGATAGTGAGATATCGTGAGTGAACCGGCAAAGATGACTTTGCGCTTCCATGACTGGCAAACTTCGGGATGGTTCCTTAAATGATTCCCCTGCTAAAGCCGTCATGCAGCCGCTGATGTTGCGACCTGTCTAGTGAGTCTAGTGGCATAGATTATCCCCATGCTATTCCCATGACACCACCTTTTTCTTGTGGTGAAATCAGAATTGTTATGAAATATCCATGGTTGGTTGGGCGGATGCTAACCATCTGTATATTAGATCGGATTGGCCTGTTCATCTACACAGGCTTTGATGCTTTGACTCAGGGCGGTTTCCTCCGAGTTGTTGCTTTTCCAATTCACAATGTATGTGAAACCAAACAAATTACATCCTAGGCAACAATGAACGTCTCATCAAAGTGTTCATGTGTAGAATATCCATGTTTTCCCGCTTGCTTTTAAAAAACCACCTCAAATAACTTCCGATTATTATCCATATGCTCCATGGTGCTGGAATATTTACCAACACTTGCCCGAACAAAATCACCCAGTCATGTAGGTTTTTATATACCAGCACCATGGGTTGCATATGGGTGATATTCCCATGTTTTCCCATTCTATTCCCTTTAAATCCCATGACATATCCCCATTTCAAGATGAGCCATCAACAAAAATACCGTTTCAGCATCCCAGAACCCATCCCATATGGCTTCATGAGGTATTCCACATGCGGGTTGAGGCGAACACCAAGTACGGTATACCACATTTCAACACCAACTAACCATGATCTATCACTCAATGTCCATATCTTTAGTGCTTAACAGAAGTTGAGAATTTGTTTGATGGTTCAATCCAAACCTGTGATGGTTACATTACCTCAAAACATCCTCGAATCAGTAGATTAATGGCCCAAAATTCATGATTTGAGCTTAAAACATCTTAAAACGTTATTTTGGTTCAACAATCATTTCAACATATTCCGAACAACCCCATTTTCCCCTACGTATGTCGCCATTTTAGTACCGTTTTGCGCCTTAGGTCAACCCCTCCGCGCCTTCTCAGCCGAGGCCGGCGGAGGCCAGGGCCGACGCCGCGCGGCCAGGAGTTTGAGGGCGTCGAAACGGAGCTCCAGGGCCTGGAAGAGCTTGGAGTTGATGGGTGCGGCTGGTTTACCCTCTGGTTAATGGTGGTTAATGGTGGTTAGATAGTTGGTTAATGTCCAACTATTGTCCAACTATATGGTTAATGGTGGTTACCCTCTGGTTATGACTGACAGTTTGCTATTGAAGCCATGGCCATAGAAATAGTGGAAATAGTGGATTTTCCCAGCTAGAAAATGGGTGGATCTTTCCATAGTTTTTTGTTAGTTTACCAGAGGGTATATTGTCCAAAAAGGCTGGTTTACCATAGGAAAATCTGCCATAACGAACTGGTCAATCCACCAATTTTTAATAGGTAAATCAACTATAATCTATCCAGAGTTTGGTTTACCATCCGGAGGATCATGACCAGAGGGTTTGATGGTTGGTTCATTACCCACCAATGTTTCTGATTTTTTTTATCAATGATGATCCCCCCAATCTATCCAGAGTTTGGATCATGACCAGCTGGTTCATTATCTATCATTGGTGGATTTGGTTAGTAAACCATTGATGTGGATAATAAATACCCAAATGGCTTACTATCCAAAAAGGTTGGTTTGCCATACATAGGACAATCTGCCATAACGAACTGGAAAATCACCATCTTTAATTGGTAAATCAACTGCTATTAAGTTGATGGGTGGTTGGTTTACCATCCATGAAGGTTTTTTCATGGAAAATCCACCAATTTTTAAATAGGTAAATCAACTATAATCAACTACAATCTATCCAAAGTGTGGATAATGATCAGTTGGTTCATTATCTATCAACTGGTTAATGACTATCATTTTCAACTATCAACCGGTTATCAAGTTTGGATAATGATCAGTTGGTCTCATTATCATTGGTGCATTTGGGATTCTCATGGTGATTTACCCTCTGGAAAACTTTAGTGATTCGAGTTGTTTGCACCTATGGTGAATCAATGCTCTTTTGTGGCGCCCCATATGTAGCTAGGTTGGTGCAACTCCAAGAAGTAGGGTTGATTAGGGGGTTATATAGTTGTATCTGTGGTTAATCGTTTATGGCATTGGGTGTTTCACATTAGATACAAAGTGGTACTCCCCAGTGATGTTATTGTTTAAAATCCAGTTAGAATTTCATGTAGATAATGGTGTTTATAATATTTTATAATCAGTAATGGGCTTACTAGTCGGTTTTAGAATCAGTACCACCCTGTAGGTCCTGGGGTTCATAATCCGCTTTAGGGTGGTGCACATCCATTACTTTGAGACGCTTCTGAGGGTCTTTAGAGCCATCCAGTGTGAGGAATCAGTTTATGGAATTATATGGATGTATATGCATCCATATGGGGTTTATAGAATGGTACCCCTGGTGATGTTTGTCGGTTTATCCCCATGAATACAATGAATACTAGTTCGATTCTTGACCACCATAAACCCTAGTTATCGGAGTTGTAAAGCAATTTAAATGTAGGGTACCTTGCTTTGAACCAGCCGAAGGTTTCTGGAATTGTGATCTACACGTGATCTTCAGGATGGTGTGAGCACCAAGTCCTCGAATCCAGCAATGAGTTGCTCCATGTTACCCGTTGAATTTGGATGGAAAGCTCTGAAATGCAAACATTTGATGTACCAGTCGACTCTCCAAGTAGGCAAATCTGGGTTAAATGGTTAAGGCGAAACCCCTTTAATCACTCCATGAGATACCCTCTGGTAAACTAACATAACTATGGGAAATCACAATTTTTCATGGGAAAATCCACTATAAATGGCCATTTTCAATAGCTATTTTGACATAACCAGAGGGTACTCAAAGAGCCGAAGCAAGACTATACTGGCAGCGCATCTTTAGGATCTTCCGGGGTCAAACATCGATCCAAGCCAGCCTGATTGGCGAAGGCCAGGATGCCACCGAGCCTTTGCATGCCAGGATCTTCAAGAAACATAGCCAGGATGGAGATGTTCTAAACCAAACTCAAATGATGTTCATACTTACATGCCATGACATTCCGTGTTGGCTACATGTCCATGTTTTGGGACGCTAGACAATCCATTCAAATTGTGCAAAATACCAAGTGATCAGTGAATCTATGTCTTTTTGACTATGATGTTACGCAGCAACAATGGGTGTACCATGGTGTACACCTTGTTTTTCACAAGCATGTACTGAACCAACATATGGTTAACCCCATATGCCTTTTGGCAATTAAAAATTGAAGGTAAAGAAAACGTCGTGGCGGCGTGTTGTTTCTTCAATGTCATGCTACGACATGCCTCCTTGTGGCACCCGAATCCACCAGCAACAGTCCTGAAGTCTGACCCATGTGAGTTATCCCCTGGTGTTGGTTCAAATGTCCAGGTTTCTCGATTTGATTCAGATTTTTCTGAGCGAGCTCCCAGTTTGTCATTTGTGCCACTCATGGTTTATGCAAGATAGCCTGCAAGAATTTCAAACTGCTGGTCAAACATCTATCAGACTTTATTGCAAAGAAAAACATTGGTTTATCAAATTGCTCTTTCACCATCTCTGACCAAGATTTCACCCTTTTCATGATTGGATCCCCACATTCGGTTTTCAACTGGGTGACTGTTTGGTTTATGCTATACTGCTATAGATATATCCATAGATCATAGTTCACTCGATTTATAAACCAACATTCACAAGATATCACAACTCTTGTCTTGCTTGAAATAGTTTACACCCAATTTCATAGCCCAGGCCTTAGAGACCCCCCTATCCATACCTAGGAATAGTTTGATATTACAGTATTCTGGTTGGTGGTTTCAACCCCCTGAACAATATTGGTCAGTTGGGATTATGATTCCCAATATATGGAAAAATAAACAATGTTCCAAACCACCAACCAGTTATTCTGGATACCTTCCAGATTTTTTTTAAAGGGAAGGGCCAGGGCCATCCCCAGTTTCCACGCCTTTCCCATTTCCAGAAAGGCGTTCCAAGCGACGGATAGACAGCCACGAAGCAGGAGACCCAGAGGAAATGCATCAGCAATTCGACCGACTCCTGCAAGGTGAAAACCCAAAGATTCGTCGATAAAAAACAGATGGTTTTAATATGGGATCTTTTCGCTACAAGTGAAATGGAGATATTCATGGAAAAACCACATATACATGTATACAATATAATAGACATATAATAGACATATATAATATATATATATGTGTGTGTGTGTCACATATGTCTATATATATACATATATATATATTATGTATACATGTAGGTACATGTAAAAGTCATGTTTCATTGCCAAATGTCCCTGCGGAAGGGTATGCTGGTTGCTTTATCCGTCAAGCCGTCAAGTTTCACAAGGATGACCCAACCAATCATACATGTTGCTTCAACCACCAAAATTGGAAGTATAAAATAACAAATTACGTGGAAGTATGGGGATATCATGGAATATATAGGTATATATAGGTATAATATGCCATAGAACGGAATATCATGGGATATACTGATATACTGCCTCCCCCAAGGTCGGTGATCCGGTCACATTCAGGGCCTGAAATTCAGGGATGGGTCGGATAGGCCGTATCTTCACCATCCATTCTTGGGAATGTCACCCATGACAAGGCGGGAGCGGTTCCCTTGGGGTTTTAATGGTTGCTTCAAGCCCATGAATTACGGGAATGTCACATGTTCCCATGATGAAGTCCCCAAAACAAAAAAAATGCCAAGGCAACACCCCAATGGTTAAAACATGTTGGTTTTGTTGGTTATCCACCCAACATATCCCCGGTCACGGTAAAATTACATGTTGCTTTGCTTGCTCTATCCATTAACATCCATTAATTAACGAGAATTATAGTTTCCATGTTTCCTCATGAAATCATCAACTTTTGTTGCTTCTCACCATCAATTCACTATTCTCTTGTTTAAATGCCAATGTTTATAGGTTAAACACCATTAAACACCATTAATTCACCAATAATTCATCAGTACTTCACCATTAGTTTATATGATTTCACCATGAATTCACCATTAGTTCACCATTTTTGATTCACCAATTTCTCTTACTGGTGCTTAGTTCGTAGGGAATGGATGGGTTGCTGGGGGTTGCTGGGGGTTGCTGGGGGTTGCTGGGATGATGACATTACTAGTGATTAATTATGAATCATTCTCTCATTCCCTGCGTTTAGCACCAGTAAGTTCTTCACCAATTCCTAATTGGTGCTTTCAACCCCCCTGAAAAATATGAGTTCGTCACTTAAGGGATCATGAAATTCCCAATAGATGGAAAGTCATAAAATTCCATGGTTCCAGTCACCACCAACCAGGTTCTCACCCAACGGACCCAACGCTCGCGCGCCTTCAACGGATCAAAGGGCCTCCGCTGCCCCTCCCGCAGCGCCTGCTGCGCCGCGTCGCTGGGCGCCGCGAGCCGCACCACGGAGCCCAAGGACGCGGCGGCACCGGCATCTGGCGGTGGTCCAAGGGGGGATTTACCATTGAAAAATATGGAAAAAATGTGAAAAATGGTGAAAAATAATGAAAAATGGGTGAGACATTGTGAAAAATGATGGGAAAACTGGTGAGACATGGTGAAAAATAGGGAAACATATGATGAAAAATGGTGGATGATATGGAAAAACCTAGGAAACATATGGGATTTACATGGATTTACCATGATTTAAATATGGAAAAATGTGGGGAATTCTAACTATAATTTGATGATTTCACTATGACAATTGGGATTTACCCATGATTTACCTATGACAAATGATGAAACAAATTCACATTTCCCATGGAACCATGAGAGAATCTCCGGCAACGAGATTGTCATGTCACTAGCCAACACATGTGCCTCTTATCATGAACATCTAGATTTCAGCATCAAAATTCCGGACCTGATGATGAATATTTTGGATCTAAGTGATCTAAGAACCAAAACTGTCACTAGCCAACAACAATACATGGTGATAGAAAAGCGTAGAAAATCAGATTTCAGCAGCACGAAAATATCTTTGGATCACACCATCAAACTTTGTGATGTCACCATTAAAGGTTAGTCATATTTAATATGTCATTATCATGATAATAATCATTAAATATGTAACCAACATATCAGAAAAATGCAACTCGAAGTTAACAACATAAAGAATTTATCCACGAAACATAGGGGTATAACCGCACAAATTGTGATGTAAGAAGCATACTTCAGTGTCAACAGCGTGGATTCAAACATCAACAAGTGCAAAAATGGAGAGTTCAATCAGCAAAAGGGCAGGGTGTTTATTCAGTTTGTTCTTGATGGAGGAATGTAAGGTAGAGAGCGGTCAACCCGAACTGTTAACCCGCATGTATTCGCTAGTTCAGCGGCAATTTGTCTGATATCTTTAAGCGATTTCCAATATTGGTGTCCAACCAGAAGACTGCGTGTTTGTATGATATTGTGCAGGTGTTTTGCAACCGTAGGTTGCTATGGAAAAAACAACAACCATAAAATTTTGGATCCCTCTTCTATGGGGTGGTGTCTCCTAGGTTAGTTCAGTTCGCTAAGATAGCTAAATAAATTCGCGCTGCTTTGCCTATCTATAGTTGGATAGGTAACAGTTAACAAGTTCTCACTCCATATTGCTATTATTATTAACCAGCATTAACCATACAATAACCATTAATAATAACCACTATAATATTAACCATTATTAACAGTATCACCTTACCTTACCTCTATGCATATCAAGCGCCACCATGCCAAAAAGCCCCAGGGCACCTCTGGCATACAGGTCGCAGTACAAGATCGCCATCAACAACCTGCATCCCCATGGCCTTCACCGGTAGGGAACCGGAGACTCCTCCATTGATTCCGAAGCATCGATAATCATCGATATCTACCTCTGGTAAACTAACATAACTATGGAAAATCACCATTTTCAATGGGAAAATCCACTATAAATGGCCATTTTCAATAGCTTTTTGTATGTTTACCAGAGGGTACCTCTGGCAATCCAATATGGCTAGGCAATTCACCAATTTTCTTCGCTGTTGTTCCATTTCAATGCCCATACGAGATGTTCCAGTGCCATGTTTGATGACCAGCAGGAAATCAGATGTTGAGTGATTCTTGTTCCACCCTTTGTCTTACAGAAGTGACACTGATACACCAGGATAGGACTATCCCTGTGACACTTGGACCTACGACTGAGGTCCCCAACCGCAGGAAGGCAATGGAGCACCTATGCAAGGTCACAAGTTACAACATTTTTAGACATCTTGTTTTTTTGTTTTGTTGGCACCTCCCAAAAAGATGAGGAACAGTTTTCCACATACAGTACCCTCTGGTAAAATAACATAACTATGGGAAATTACAATTTTTAATCGGAAAACTCACCATAAATGGCCAGTTTCAATAGTTTTTTGTATGTTTACCAGAGGGTAACAAAAAAAAACACAAAACTGTCCACCTTTTGCGGTGCTGTGCTAAAACTGAATGGAACCCCGGAGTTTTTCAACATGTCTCTGCCACCTATTTTTTGGAAACACCACCTAGGGACATGGTTTATAAAGGACATACACATGTTTGAGACCATGTCGGGCCGGTGTTGAATATCAGGGGGAGTTACTGCAAGGTGGGCAAACCCCAGTGATGTTTGTTGGTTGATATTGATCCCATTACCCTCTGGTAAACAAACATAGCTATTGAAAATGGCCATTTATAGTTGATTTACCCATTAAAAATGGTGATTTTCCATAGTTCTGTTAGTTTACCAGAGGGTATATAACTACTTCGATATCTCTACCATTATCCAAAGGTATAACTAATGTCAGACACCCAATTCGGCCTTTTTTGTTTATTAAAGCACTGCTTTTTACCACACCATTGGAGATATTCATCCCCCATTTCATCCACACTGAGTCACTGGCCAAGCTTTCCCTTCAAAAGACACAAACACAAAAGGATACCCAGCTCAGCAAACAGATGGGTTATAAGCTCTATCACTTATATAAATATTCATTCACCATAAATATATCTATACTATAGTATACCCATTGAATTACGAAATACATAGTTATGCGTATATTGCATATACATATGTACACGTATCATATCATATATGTACACAGTGTAAATGCGTTTTTGTTTAAATACTACATATATACGTGTATACATGTATACATGTATAGATGTATAGATGTATATATATATATATGTATATATGTATATATGTATATATGTATATAAACACATTACATTCTTAGAATGTATTATGTATATACTCCCATTGTGGATGGTTGCACAGAGATCTCCACTCTTGGCCTCACAATGCACTTCAGGGGCTGAGTGGTAGCTTCCAGCGATCGCAAGTATTCCAGGAGAATCCTTGGCGGATTCCGCCCATTCCACGGCTGGGTAAACACGTTGATCCCATTGAACATGGCCATTGAGTTCGTTGATTTACCTGTAACACATGGTGACGTTAACATAATTCAACATGGGTTACCCTCTGGTAATTTAACATAGTTATGGAAAATGGTCATTTATAGTTGATTATAGTTGATTTACCTACTAAAAATGGTGAGTTTCCATAGTTATGTACACGTTTACCAGAGGGTAAGCATCATATATCCCCGTAAATCCCGTGAAACCCCCAATGAATACCACAAGTTCTATGTATCGAGCATGTTGGATAGGAAATCCCACTGCCGAGTTGTGAAGATCATCCAGATTTACTGCTGTAACCAGGGGAAAATGGTGACTTCAACAGGAAAAACATGAGGAATTCATGGGATCGAAACATCTGATTCAAGGCTTTGGTTTTTTCGGAAACATCTACCCTCTGGTTATCTAACATAGCCATGGGAAATGGCCCATTTATAGATGGTTTACCTATTGAATTTGGTGATTTTCCATGGCTATGTTAAATAACCAGAGAGTACATGAAATCATAAACAGATTTACCCAACAAACATTGAGGGTTTCCTCTCGTTTTTTTCCTTAGAACCAATTCTAGGATGAAAAAGAACTCATGCCACCAAACAGATCTTCATCCTAGGTCTCTTCAGCATGTTTCATGGTGGTTTCAGCAATTGCCCCCCACTAGGTTTTAGTATGGAACCCAACAGTTGGTTCCAAACCCAGTACCAAAATCATCCAAAATCATCTTTGCAGGATGGGGCCCCATGGTTAGCTAAGTTGGTGCAAATAACTATAATAACAATAGTGTGTATGATACTTATAACTACATTTAGATTGGGTTGTAAACCAACTTATAACTGGGGGGCCCCATCCTGTGGACATCTTTGGAATTTGGATAATTTGTTTGGCTAAAATTACAGAGGGTGCATCCAGATTTCCAAAAAAAAACTTGTTGGACATTGGCGTTTAACAGCTGCACCAAGGGTCGGCAGCAAAGTCTTCTTGAAGATACCAAAGAGACCCGCGGTCAAGAATGGCCTTGGAAACCGCTCTGACATGAGGGCACTACCGAATCTAATGGCAGGAACTTCCCACCCGGACAAAAAAACAATGCATTTGGAGGGATGAAAATGTCCGCAGGGCGGCGACGGCTGCTACCCCCATCTTCGCCAAAGTTGACGAAAAATCAGCCACCAATTCGTTAGTGGTCGTGAGATAGGCGACTTTCCTGCCTTGTTTGACCTTTTCTTGGAAAATATGCGACAGCAGGAACGTCTTGCCTGCTCCATACGGCGCAAGGAGGGCCACAACCTGCAATGAAGAGAACACCTGTTCGACAAACCTTTTTGCGGGTTTCGGCCATTCTGCGGGTGCAGCAAATGAAGAACTGATAGACGTATCCCGGGGCACTTCAAGCCGGGCTCCAAACAAGAGTGGAGTCACAAGGGCTCTTACCAGGACATCCTTGCTTGTCAGCATCTTTTTTACTACTGCGAGCTGCCTGGAAAATCGCCCCCGGTTAATGTCTTCACAGACCCCCGAGCTTTGCCATTCCGCAAGACTTGTTGGTTGAGGTTTGGAGATCCTGTAATGAATGGGTCACAAGACACCCAATAAACAAAGTAGTTTTTTTACTGGGAAAAACCTGTTGTAGTCGATTACTACTGGCTGACTATATTCATTCATCAACAAGTTAAGGATTTGGGATCCCTCTCTGACAGATGGAGAATCAGATCCAAGCAGTCTTCACAGCCCCTGCCACAACAATCGGTGCTCCCTTCCAACCCCCCCCACATAGCAATCAGTCCACTCACTCCACCACTCCACAAATCTTATCAGTATCAGAATTTCATCCTTCAAAGCATATAAAACTTTGGATATCTTTCGTGGTTTCAACCCCTCTGAAAAATATGAAAGTCAGTTGGGGTTACTATTCCCAATAGATGAACAAAATAAAACATGTTCCAAACCACCAACCAGATCATGTTTCATTTACAATCACACATGATGCATTATGATTACCCAATCGTTCAGTTCAGGGTTCACCAGTAAATATAGTGAATTTCTGTTGGTGATATCCTTCGTCTAATGATTTACGATGAATTATTAGACAGTACCACATTCTTCTTGGTGAGAAAATAACTTACAGTTGATTCACCAACCATCCACCAACTCATTTACAAAGATTCATCTTGGTGAGATTGTCATGTTGCATGCATACTCTCTGGATGCCTCTGGCAATTTGACATGCCAATGCAAACACGTAACTATTTGTAGACGATTGAATTTTTGAATCTTCGAACATCGCATGGCCAGTTAAAATTCGCGAAACCAGCCACTTAAGGTGGGAAGGCGGCGCAGTTTCGCTGAGGTTTTGTCCTATTTTTACATTGGTGAAATAGAGAAATACCCAAACAAAAGAATTACACACAGTTAAATACCGGCATGTGACCTTAACTCAGCAAAACACTTGTCATGTTTTACCCTGCATAAAGCCAAACCAAATAGGGACAAACCAATATTGTACATCATGTTCTCTATGGAAACCCACAGACTTTTATATCCACGATAAACCCCATCGTTAGCTAGTTAGAAGCCAACTTGTGCATCGCTTGGGGTCACACCTTGTATGCCAATTTACCATGGAAATCCCCAAGTGCTCAGCCTAGGAACCCTCGGACGGAGGCGAGGAAGAGTTGCAGTCGCACGCTACGTGGAACGTTCAACTTGAGACCTTCCAATGCCATGTCACAGCACTGGAAGAGTCAATACCCTCTGGTAATTTAACATAGCTATGGAAAATCACCATTTTTAATGGGAAAACTCACTATTTCTATGGACATTTTCAATAGCTATGTTAGTTTACCAGAGGGTATGTTCAGCCCCCAAAAAACAGGAAAACTGAGAACAAACCTGGTGGGTGGTATACCTACCCCTCTGAAAAATGATGGAGTGAGTTCGTCAGTTGGGATGATGTTCCATTCCCAACTGTTTCTGGGAAGTCATAAAATAAATTCCAGTCGGTTCCAGTCACCACCAACCAGATATATTGTTATTAACCATAGATTAACCATAGATTAACCATTATTAACCATTATTAACCATAGATTAACCATGGAAAAATGTTCCAAACCACCATTCTAAACCAGCCGGTGATCTCCCCATTTTCTTTGGGGAGGACACTTCTCCTCACGGTCAAATTTTCATGGATTTGAAAACCACTGAAATCCAGGTTAACCCCAGCTGAGTCAAACATCGGGGCATAGTTGGAACTCATGGAATTGAAAACCAACATGAAATTGCATAGCCAACATATGATTACATATTTAATTCGAAATGGTGCTCGAAATAGGGGTGCACATGGACTTGAAAAAAAACCGTGGCATCCTAAGTCATTGGGAGTGGCAATCTCCCATGGGGTCAATCCTTTCGGGTACCTGTTTGGCGTAGCCTACTTTCAGATAAACCCACTTGAGCAGTGTCAACGCCGAACCGGGGAAACAAATCACAGCTGTTTTTTGTATGATTGGTTGATGGGGGGGTTCCAACTATGGATTATGATCAACGGTAATATGTTTCAAGGGTATTTTTGTTCGGCCTCAAATCATCAACTGATCATCTTTGATCAAATAATTCATGTGTGTTTGATGGTAACCCCCCTGTAACTGATTCGAAACTCCTGGAGTTTGTGAACCCCCCTCCAATCGAAAGCCTGGCGGAATGTATTGGATCTATAAAAATGACTTGAGGGCCCGGTCATGGGGGTCATTGTCTATTATATATATATATATAGAGAATTCTATTACGGGCAAGGGACTCAACTTAATAATTGGATCTGTAAAATTGTTACATACGATAAATTAGGGCTTGGAATACTGTATATATATATGTATATACACACATATATATATAATTATATATACATACTATATATCTACCATAAACATCCATAAACCAAGCAGTGAAATGTTGACATCTTGCTTCTTTGCACCAACTTAGCGATTGCCGTTTTGGTGAAACCACCATTTTGAGTTCGGTAAGTCATCCTAAATTATTTATGAATGAACCATTTCTCATAGCTATCTAACAAATCACCAGAGGGTAAAACCCATTCAATCAAAAATCCCATGGAAAATCCTACGATATAAATCCCGTTAAATCCTACATAGACTTATAATATAAGTGTATTGTGCAACATAATATATATATATATTATACATATTATATATATATTATATATATAATATACATTCCCATTATATCATAATATCTTATACAAAATCCTATTATACAAACCATCCCTCATTTTACCATCAACTCCGCCATAAGCCCTCTGAGGCCGTGGCAGCTGAAGGACCAATTCCCTCAGCGACAACGTGGGGATCAACGAAATGATGAGGATTCCTACGCTGAAGATGTGGATACAACTGCATACAACTGCATACAACATCATACAACCATGGAAAACATTGCTTAAAATGGGATCTTCTAATATTTTAATATATTTTATATGGTGATTTCCATGGGGTTTCTCCAAGAATTCAGCAAAAAAAAATCAGAAATATCATGGGATTTCACTGATTTCACCAACAAAATCCATGGCGCTATGGACATTTGTCGGGATCCAATGGGATAGACCTGGTGACTGCCAGCCACCGACCATCCGAGGCTGGTGATGGCATCTGAAATGCGGTTCTTCGTAAAAAAAATGTCATGGCTAATTAATGGTGGATTTTCTTATATCAATGGAAATTATATCAACAATTATGGAAATCCACCATTAATAAAAATCCACCATTCTATATATCAACGTCTGGACTTTACAAAACAAGTCCCAAATCGTCCCAAATCAAGAGCTTAAAAATACTGATCCACGTGAGAAATTCTGAACGATTTTTCCATGCTTACGCCATGCTTACGCGCGTAGAGTAGAGTTTTTCCTTACGTGGAGCAAATTGACAAAACCCTTACGCAAAGTCCTTACACGGCCTTACGCAAGTGAGGGTTTGCTTACGCAAAACGCGCTATGACAAGGCCACTACTGAACATGTAAAGGGAAGTTTTTAGAGCGGCTCACGTGGGTTTGTTTGAAATTTCCGGGGAAGCCCTCAAAGCCACAGGTCAACCATGATTGTACCGAAGCAATTTGCATTTGCTTAAGGGTATATTATATACCCCCCTTTTCAGCCACACCCATCGGATTCTCATATCAGTTTCCACATTTCTGTTGATGAATTCCATCAAAATCGTAATCGCGTTCTGTTTGGTGGCGCGATCCCCGTTTTTGATCAGTGTGTAAATGGTTTAAGTTAGTGCCGTTAGTGCTTTCAATCCACTTGAAGAACTATGGGAAAGTCATTGGGGATCATCATCCCATTTTACCTTGATAGAGGATTGTTCCATTGAAAAACATCCATAGAGGATTTCCCATTGCCAAGTTTGATAGCGTAAAAGCAAGTGTGTTTACACAAACTACCCGCCGGACCGGAAACCGTTCCCATAAAACGCACGTTTTTTAAACAAATGGTGATTTTACCACAGTGCCGTGCTGATTTGATGATTGGAAATCCTGGAAAAACTTGGGGCGCGTTTTTTGGCTTTTTAGCGTCATCGCAGTAAACGATCCCAGAGTAAACGATCACGTAGCAACATTTAACGTAGTAAACGATCCCAGAGATCTCAGCAGCGTACAAACATGTAACGTAGTAAACGATCCCAGAGATCTCAGCAGAGTAGAAATATTTCATGTACGAAGTACAAGGAACGTTAACATGCCCCCCCACCCCACCCCACCCCCCCAGCCCACCCACCCCACCCCATCAGCAGCGTACAAACATGTAACGTAGTAAACGATCCCAGGGATCTCAGCAGCGTGGCAATATTTCATGTACGAAGTACAAGGAACGTTAACATGCCCCCCCACCCCACCCCACAATCGCGATATTCAAAAACGTGCGTTTTACGGGAACGGTTTTCGGTCCGCAGGCACAAACTAGTATACCCCATAGATTGGCAGGAGTACCCTCTGGTAAACTAACATAACTATGGAACATCACAATTTTCAATGGGAAAATCCACTATAAATGGCCATTTTCAATAGCTATGTTAGTTTACCAGAGGGTAGACTGGCAGGAGTATATCGCAATTCCTCAGGCTGCTGAATATTCACGCGCTCCTTTTGGTTCCATCCCTATCATATTCCCATGGCCCAACCGAATATCCCCATCATGTTCCGAGTCACCAATATGTGGTTTCATTCATGCCGATTGAACAACCACTAAAAAAAAAACAAGTATGTTCCCATGATATTTCTACAAAATCTCCATACGGTGGGTGGAAGAAATCTTGCACCACCTTGGATGGTTAAAACATGTGAAAACACTATAAATAAAAATTCATTCATCCCCATTTAAAATCATTAAACATACAATTGTGGCTGGTAATTACCAGTATGTTCCTATGATATTCCTATAAAATCCCTATATCACCTTGAAAAACCTGGCTGTTTTCCATTCGTCCGGGGCTGCGAAGCCAAGATACCCAGGAACCAGAAATCCAAGCGCTGAGAGCAGCCCAGTTCGTCGCCACCGTAGTCCGGGACGTAGAGAAATCCCAGGACACCTGTGTTTGTTGTTTTAAGCCGGGTGAAATTGACACTCAGAAACCAAGCAAACATGATTCAGTGATATAAACTGTTGGTTCATTATTGTTAATGACACATATACACGATACTTCTTCGTGTATCTTATGTATATTATATGGAAAAAACAGATTCCTAAAGTGGATATTAAGGAGATTCAACCACCCCTAAAGCTGACCCACCCACAATAGATCATAGATGGTGAAGATTTGCCAACTGAACATGTTTCTAGGGGTGCCGAATGACTGACTTGTAGCATCATGCCAATGAAGTTGTTACTATAAGAACATAACAATACACACACAAGATCAATTGTAATCATCCTCATCCTCATCATCCTCATCATCAGCCAAAACACGTCATACAATAGTAGCTTAATAATGTTGGTATGTTGGTAAAACACTAATAAGCCATCCCCCATTTCACCAACAAAAGGTGATATAAACCATTTCCAAATGGGTGGTTTATGACATTGTTTTACCCAATAATGTCCTTTGGTAAAAATAGAGGGGCCGATTTGGTATACCATCTATTATCATTTACCTGTTGTTAAAGGGGTAAACAAACCCATCTATTAACCAACCAACCAATGGGAAAAGGACATCTATGGTTTTACCCCCCATTAGTAATAAACAAACAACACAGTCATCATTCTCATCCCTCTGAGGTGGCGCACAAATGAAGCCCAACTTTCCGACCACCTTGGAGAGCTTCCGCGTGCTTGCGACTAAGCGACTGAAGGAACATAGCCACTGTAATGGGGATATACAAATATACCCACTATATATATATAGTATATCCCTAGTATATCGGATAAATCCCTATATATAGATATAGTATACAGTAAATATACTAGGAAACATTATCCGATATAGTATTTCATGATGTATCATGTGGGTAAAACAATGTCATAAACCACCCAGTCGGGAATAGTTTATACCACCCGTTGATGGTGATTTTGGGAGTGGTTTATTTTTTGTTTTACATGGATATAGGCATATATGTGCCAATGGACTTCGGCGATTAAAAAAAGAAATTTTCGGATGATTCCCCCTACATCCACTAACCACAACCTCATTCGTCACCTCGCGGTGAGGTGAAGTTGCAATTCATGCAGTACACATCATCCCAGTTGATTTCTGTGCGTGATAAACCAAACCTGTTGGAACCTGGATGCAAACATTTCTAACGTCAACAGTCACTGGTTGGTGGTTTTAACCCCTCTGAAAAGTATGAAAGTCAATGGGAAGGATGACATCCCATATATTATGGAACATAATCCAAATGTTTGAAACCAACAACCAGATCAAGTCCCTGGTGGGACATCGGTTTTTATGCCCGTGCAACTTCGACACAAAACCACTGTCGCCCTGGCTTCAGTCAATTCCTCAAGCCAGCCATTTAGAATTTTCCGGATGATACCCCACGTAATTGTGAACCAACAAGTGGACGTTTCAAAAATTTGGATGATACGGTTATATGGCCCTTCACAAATCTTTACCAGTCAAAAGTCAGACTTTTAACATGTTATAACATGTTATAACCTCATTTATGGACTGATAACCCTTAGGGCCCATAAAGCCATGGTTTCCCTCGATGCTTTTCTTCGCTCTTTTCGCCGCGTTCGGTCTCATCGATTTCCTTGGGATGGGCGACCCTGCGACCCTGAGACACCTTGGGTTATGAAAGAAATCCTGCATCAGTTGATAGATGGTTTATCCCGTAAAGATCCCATTATTTACAGTGTTCGTTGACATCCACAGTAGTTAACAATAATGAAACTCATGATCATATAACAACAAATGTAAGAACAAATCATGGTATCATAAAATCAAGAATGACAATGCATATAATGTCAAACCCCGGATTAATCAACCCTGGTTGGTTAATTGTGGTGGTTCCCCCAAATAGTGCTAAATGGCTACTGAAATGGTACCACCCCAATGAAACAGCCTAGGGGGTTATTAATCCGGGGTTGACATTATTGGAAATACATATTGATATCTTGGTTCACAAATGAGTGGTAACAGATTCCGCTCCAGCCCATCATCCAAACCTGTCCAGTCAGCCATCCTAAAAATGCCCAGCTTCTTTTGTGAGATCCCACACTATCACTATATTACTGTGCAATAATAACATAATATATATATATATATATATCATATTCACATATTGCAATCACCATTAAATATATGTGTATATAATGTATATATATATATTTATGTATATAATATGTATATATATATAATATTCACATCTTGCAATCACCATGATTTTTTGCGTATTGCCATTGCTATATCATATATTCCAATTCAATTGGTTACATCACCAGAATATTCCAGTTGGTTGATTGTTTCCATTCTGCTTTCATCCGATGGCTAGCTATTATACCATGCACACGATTGATGTTGATGTCCCTATAAAGTTTCCCATTGAGATTACTGATCTTACCCACGTCTTATGGATTTCCTGTAGGATCCGGGAGGTTTATTGCTTTTACCCACACTCCCAGTCAATTACTATAATGTTAACCCACGAAAAAATGTTGTTGTGTCATAGGAACTCACCCATGTGGTTTTGCACACATGATACCAGGAAATCAGAAACGGAAACGATGCTCCATGTATGGCATGTTTACCTACATGACTAGTTGATTTTTTTCGGGCAAATGTTGGATTCCATATTCCAGCACCATGCTTCGCAAAAAAGGGAGCAAAATCGGCAAAAAATTAGATCCTAATACTACATATATATAATATCCATAATATATCATACTCTATATATATATATATATAAATATATATATACATACATATCCTAAAACTACAGTTTTACCCTCTGGTAAACATACAAAAAAGTATGGAACATCACCATTTTTAATGGGTAAATCCACTATAAGTGGGCCATGTTCAATGGATATTTTGACATAACCAGAGGGTAAATCCCATATCATCCCATTATTCACCATTGTTAACCATTAAATCACCATTTATAGTGGTTACATCACCATTTTCAGTAAGAAAAAAACAAAACAAAACATACACCATGAGAAAATCACCATTTCATCTGGTTGCATCACCATTTTCCTATGGTTTTCTGGTTTTCCTATGGTTTTCCTATGGTTTTCCTAACTCTGGAGGGTACCCAATATTTTTTTCGATTCCCAGGCCAACTTCCCGGTCCCTTCCTTGGGTCCCACTGGGGTGATCCAAAAGTTGTGCAAAAATAGCCATGGAACATGGCCCATAGACTATAACTACTTATATAAATACATCTATATATATATATATCTATCTAATATATCTAATATATCTAATATCTAAAATAGCCATGGAAAATGGCCCATAGAAATAGATGGTTTACCCCAGACTATAACTACTTATATAAATACATACATATATATATATGATAATATATCATAATATATAATTATATATATAATGAACTTAATGATACATCATCATATATCATAATATACCCCCAGCTCCTCACTAGTTAGGATACCCTCATCAACTATGATCTATAGTTAATTTTTACTATTATATGTATGATTACTTATAACATATTATACCCTCTGGTTATTTAACATAGCCATGGAAAATGGCCCATTTATAGATGGTTTACCATGGTTTACCTATTTAAAATGGGTGGGTTTTCCATGGCAAACTGTTCGTCATAACCAGATGGTATCATTTACTGGAAAAAATATTGGGTGTAAATCCCCAGACTATAACTACTTATAACATATTCTAACTAGTATAGTTGTGATATCCCCACCTATACAGTTATGGCCATAAAAATCAGTTATAAGTACTAACAAGTCACCCCATTTATAGAATGTTTCTCATCCCATAGAAATCACCAGTTATAACTAATAAATGGCCAAAACTGTAGGCTCCCAGCTCCAGTAACGTCAACCCACCAAGTCTCCACTTTCTCCAGCCACAGCCCATGCGCCGGCGCTTTGGGAGGCCGTTCCAAGGGCGCTTCGAAGTGGCGCCAGGGGGGACGCGTGCCCAAGCCCACCTGGCAGCGGTTTGGCTATCCTCTTGGCTATGGCTATACCACTGATATGGTGGAAAACATTGAGTTCAAATTGGTGAACTATGGCGAATTATGGCGAATGGTGGAACTTGGATCTGTTCATTGGGCCCATACATTGGGAGATTTCATAGAGTACGGGAGTCACAATCATGATTCCGCCATGATGCTCCTCCAAATCCAACGTCACAATTTCGCATAATTCATTTCACATACCCTCCAGTCTCCAGTAAACTAACATAGCGAACTGGAAAATGGCCCATTGATAGAGGATTTACCTATTAAAAATGGTGATTTTCAGTTCGCTATGTTAAATTACCAGTAATTTTGCTGATCATCTGATCATCTGGTAATTAACATAGCTATGGAACATACCCATTTCTATAGGTAAATCCTCTATTATCCCCTATAAATGATCATCTGTAAAACCTGGCAGTAAATCCCCCTTTCGAGCCTCCACCAGCAGCCCAACGATGCGCCGGACCATGTGCTTCAAGAAGCCCTTCCCTGTCACACGGATCCTGCGTTCCAGCACCGTTCGAAGATGGACAAGCTGGTTGAGGTTTTTCTTCCAAACACCTTGGCAAAAACCATGGGAAAGACCCAAGAAAGACCTCATTCCCAGGGGGAAAAACATATTTTTATTGCATTCCAAGATATGTTCCTACTGCAATCGGACAAGCCGATTTTCCTTTGCTAAGCCCTCCTCGTGAGCTGCAGTTCTGAAGTCATCTTGCCTGTGCGGCTGTGCGCGACACAACCAACACAACCTGGTTGGTGGTTTTAACCATCTTAATGGGGTTTATAAACCAATTTATGATGTTTAATGGAAGATATAATTGAAATGTTCTGGTTGGTGGTGCAATATATGAAAGTCAATGGGAAGGATGACATCCCATATATGAAATGGAAAATACAAAATGTTCCAAACCACCGACCAGCCACCAACATTCATGGTGCTTCCCCAAAGAAAAAAACACACAGCTCTGCATGATTTTTCTTTACGAACTCGGGCAGGTCGTCCCATGTCATGGGGATCCTGACGTTTGACCCCCCATTTTCGTGCGCTGACCATCCCTGAACTTATGGGAAAACATGGGAAAACCACATCTCTTGACCATGAGTGCCATGCATTGATCACAATATCTTCATTTTGGATCACAACATTCAGCACTAGGCTGGACTATTATGTATATCTCAGCAGCTCATGTGGTCCCCAAAAATCATAAACTGTCTCGAATCATAGCAGGCATGAATTGTATAGACCATCTGCATCTGGAGGTTGAGTATTAGGTTTGCGATATCTAGTATCAACATGTATCACCATGTATCAACATGTATCACCATGTATCAACCCTACAAACCCTCCACATAGATGGTTATTGGCACCTGCCATGACGGCAATCCAAACCCATGAGTGACAGCAAATAATTGTATAGATGGTGAACATACAAATCCACCAAACATGTATATATATATACATATGTATAGGTATATATACTGTATTTATCCCCGGGTTACCTCTCTTGTCAGAAGTGAGTCTAAGAGTCTAGAATGGCCTGAACCCTAAAATGCAGTGAAAAGAACACGGCAATCAAACACGGCAGTGGTGTTTGTCCTCCATGATTAGTGATTTTCCCACTAAACTAACATCGGTTTC